ACCCACCTTGCCCCACATGCAGATCCGGGTGCGTGTAGCAGGGGGAGCTGCCCCCCGGACGAGCCACTCATGGATCCATCCCGCACCCCGCCTTGGCTGTGCAGCACTTGCCCCAGCCTCTCCCCACAGAGCCCCCATGTCAAGGGAGGAAGTGAGACACAGGGAGCATCAGGTTGGGGTGAGATGGGCCCCGGTCAAGCCAGGTGGTGGGACAATCAAAGGCCTAGGGGGCATGTACCACCCCTCCCAATCTGTGTGCAGGGTCGGGGTGGGGATGGCTGCTGCTGCATGCTGATCTGTGCTGTAGCTGGCCTGGGAGCAGCTGATGCCACATGCCTGCTGCAGCTGGGCTGTCCCATGCCCCCTGCCTGCCTGGCGGTGGGATGCACATGGCATTGCACAGCTCTTGGGGCAGCGGGGCTTAAAGCCCACCACTTAGCAGCGGCCACCTCCACCCCACATACAAATTGCGGGGGGCAGGGGGCATGTGCCCCCAGGGCCTCATCTTGTCCCACCACCTGGCCCGGCTCCTGCCTGTGCCCTGCTTCCTCCCTCACTGCTGGGGCCTCCATCTCCACACCCCCATATCCCTTTCTCCTCCCCCTGCCCTTTCCCCCACAAACTTACCCCTTGTGGTAGCATGAATACTTTATTCTCCCTCTGCCTATGCCACTAAACTACTTATGTAAAGGGTTGGCACCACCACTTTCTTCCCTGGAAGCTCTCTTTTTATAAAGAAAAACATAAATTGCACAGTTGTTTGAAAGAGTCTTGAGTGTGGGCTCCTGCAGCCAGAGGATTCTGGATCCCAATTGTGCTTTCCTGAAATCCTGAGTCACAAGTCTTAAGTTAACAGGGTTGGGATTTTGCCCCTTGTGTTTAGCATTGCTTGGCTCACTTTGTATCTTTATTAAATGGTTTTTTGGGTTTTTATGCTGCTTTTCAGCAGGGGGTACCATTCTTTAGCACCTACCTCTTCTTGTGCACTGTATAGAGAGGCTGTACACTTAATCTAGGTTCTGGATTCTATTCTGGGGCACAAGGCATCAAAAAATCAGCACTGAAGCAGCTGACTTGTACATGCCTAAGTGTTTATTGAATCTATCCCTAACACAAGTAGAGAACACTTTGCAGAAATGTTACCACAACAGAAAAGATTTTTGGAGAGAAGCCCCACACAATCCACTTAATCATAATGTTAACAGATATAATTTTTCCTATAACTTAGTTTTCCAGTAGTGGTATATTGCATGAAGATGACTTTCAACATTTTTTTAAACATTTCTTGTCCAATGCAGTTTCTGCTTTTCATAAGATTCTATATTAAAGCAGTTCTTCCTTGCTGGGGATGTTGGGACGTGTCTTTTTGAGTTGAATGGGAAGACAATAAATTAGAGAAAAAGGAAGGCGAGAATAAAAGAGAAATGTAATTAACATAATGGAGAAAACCATATACATCATAATTTCCAGACTCTTGAGTTTTATACATCCATTTTCTCATGCTGAAATAACAAATTTTATTCAGGCTGATAGGCCAGGTATAGTCACTGATCTGGTAAATTTTGTCTTTGCCTGGTTTTAAGACCTATTCACTTTTTGCACTTCGCTGTTGATACTGTTTATGCAAATTTTGTAAACAAAATTTCTCTCTCATTTAAACCCACTGGTCCCACATTGAGAGCATGGATAAATATGTTTAAGAGGAATCTTCTTTTGTTTTTCTGTTTGCCCTCATGTTTGAAGTTAGATGCTTTGTCACTTAGGTAAGTGACGGACAACAACTTCCTTCAGCGTGCAGGCAAGAATGACCCAGCTTGGGTCAGAGGCAGACCTCTGACAGGCTGAGCACTAGAAATGGGCCACTACCACCACCTTTTCTTCCCATTGTGGTGTGGGGAGAGTGAATGCTGCCAAAGTCCCATGTCCACAGGCCAGATCACATGGCTTCATGGGCCAGATCCAGCCTGAGGGCCATTGGTTGCCAACCTCTGGCTTAGATCATCTGCACCTGTCTGAGTTCTTATCCAAAGTCACCATCTCCTGACTGGGACATAAGTTTGTACAGCTATGAATTCTAATATAAATGACCAGTGATTGGATTCAGGTGAATAATAAGTAACTGAGAAATGAGTTACTAAATGTAGATCCTATATAGATTGTGGAATTCCTTAGTAATAAAAGAAATAAGGACTTAAGTAGAGAGAAGGATAGTTCTTTCTAAATAAAATGTTCAACTTAATTTAAGCATTAGGAGTTCAACTGACTGTGAATCTGTAAATATATCAGTGGCATTCCACATGTGTCTTTTCGTTGTAGGGATTTCTCCTTAGGAAAATCGAAGACTCGTAGAATGTCAGGAGAAGAGAGTGAGTGCGGTGGCGAGGTGGAGTCTTCTGCCATAGAGGCAGACCAGGGTGAACTGGCTGAGGACACTTGGTAAATGCAATTTTTTTTCCAACTTAAACAGCACTGTTAACTTGACTCTGTGAACACAGTGCACAGCTGTTCTGCTTATAATTTTACCACAAAGTATTAACAGCTGCACATAACATTTGCTGTATACCCTGGAGAAAGATGGCTGTAAACCTACAGTGAGTAATAGGTAAAGTTAACTAGTTTTTCAATGTTTTACAGATCAGAAGCATGAAAGTAATATAGAGCATCAAACTGGTTTCCATGTGACAGAAACATATTGATCTGTTGTTTCAGCTCCGATAAAGAGACTCGTGAGGCATGCTGGAGTGGCTCGTTGGCTGAAAGTTCTGTGCCAGAAATTGAAGTTGCTGAAGTAGCGTATACTGCTGATGAAGAGGAGTAAATCAATAGCAGCTGCCGTTACCTTCAAATGTTTCATAATGTTTGGAATAGACTCCGTGGGTAAAAACATAGTAGCTGAAAAAAAAAAAAAAAAAAAAATTACAGCACCAGGCAAGAATGCACCAATTGAATGTTTACATAAACAAATCCTTACAAATTATTGAGATAAGAAATATACTTATTGATGCTTTTGATTCAGTTTTTATCTAGCCTTTATATATTTAATATATTAAAGTCTAATTAGGGCTAAATTCAGCTATGCCTAGACTCTTAAATACTGTACATAGATTATAATGATTTGCCACTGCAGTGGCTAAAGCTATATATGTGTATTCACCAATCACGTTACTCAAAGATGTGACATACTTGTGCATCACGTTTGCCACTAATGTGACATTTGAAGTGTTCATCTCTTTGGTGTTTGATTTTTTTTCAAATTCTTATATAGCCATTAAATAATACTCATGGAAATAAAGGTGAATGCAAATTAGGTTAAATAAAAGTATAGAATATATCGTGTTTGTTTTTAAAGGTCTAAATAAATTTTAATGCCATGAAATAGGAAGATTTACATTACCAAAAGAAAGGTATTTATGAAATGGAAAGGATTGGCCATTTTAATAAAAAGCTAGTAATCATTGTTGCTGAAAGCACTAACACGTGAGAACCTGAGAACCCAAATACACTGTCTGTTCACCCACCAATATCATGTTATAATAGTTGATTTAGTTCAGGAATGCTTTTTTAAATCTGATGTTTTTGCTGCATACCCATGTAATGATAATGAGTTTTATCAAGAACACTACCTCTTACCTTCTTGCTAATGCATACATGATTTGTTTAAAAATTATTCTAGATTATACGGAGATATAGAATGATTTGTGAAAGCCATATTTTTTTCTGCACAGTAGCTAGGTTGAATCTAGTTGCAATGTATTTTTGTTTCAATATATTTTACACATGGGAATGTTGCTACAATGCATTCTACAGCCTATTTTTCACAACGTATTAAGCCAGGTGATGCACTTTATAATAGACTCCTTTGTGCCAAGTTTAATTGGCTAATTTCTTTTGAGAGGGGGAGTTGCAGGGAGAGGATTATGTAGTGCCTTTTTGTATTTTACTTGTTCATTACTACAGAAGTTTGTTACCATACTGTGGGCCAGCTTTATGGAATCGTTAATACAGCTTGTTTGTTCTGCACCTATTTACTAAAAGTGCCTTGTTTTCTTCTGCTTTTCCAACTGGAAGAATGCTTTTCTGTTTTCATCTTTTTTTCTGTACCACCCACTTCTTTGTTTAATGCTGTTAATATGCAGTATCTTTGTGCTGGAGTTTTCAAAGTTAGCTTTGTATTTCAGGCTGTACATACAATGACCTTTATGCAGAACTGTTTGAAACCTCCTGGAGAAATAAAACTGTGGACATCGCACACATTTTCTCTCTTTTTTTTTTTTTTTTCCCCCTGTTAATAGAAACATTTTAAATACCCAGTGAGCAGAATTTCATGAAAAGCAAATCCTGGATATCTCACTTCATACAGTTTTTTAACATTAAGTCTCAATTCTAGTTGTCATCTTTGCATGAAAATGAATGAATGTTGCAAAACATTAGAAAATTGACTGTGTGTATGCTGAAGGTAAAAGAGACAGGTAATCAGTTTTTGTATTCTTTTGGACTCTGATAGGCTTCTAGAGGATTTTGTAAACTATTACATGTTCCTGGAACATTATATAGAAACTATGCAATTGTCAAATCCCATTGTAAGTTACGTACTGTCTTAAACAGGACTAAGCTGTATATGTTAAAATAATTTGGCTTTAAAACAAATGTTTGAAACATTTTGAAAATATTTTTTTTAGAATTCTTCACTTTTGTTACTTTATGGACTGCCACTTTAGCCATTAAATGAATATAAATCTACGTCTAAATGTTTTCCAAAGCAATTAAAGGGGATGGTGAGAAATGTGGGAGTTCGTATTTTGCCCTGTCATCTTTAAGGATTGTAGGATGCCTCACTTTAAGTTGAAATTTTAAATGCTTTATCTGAGAAGCGCCCTCTATGGTACCTTGTATTTATATGGATTGACCTAATTTGTTTTTAATCAAACATATATACACAGTGCACTTGAAATGCAGTGGTCAAGGCTTTGTGGTAGCAGTAGGTTCATAGAAGTTAGGGGCCTCATGACATCATCAGGTCCAGCCCCCCACTCCCCACCCCGCTCTGAGGCAGGAAAGACTGCTGAGATCAGATGACCCCAGCGAGGAGTGCATCCAGTTGTCTTTTGAAGATCTCCAGGGAAGGTGACTGTGCCACCTCTGGGGGGGGTCTGTTCCAGATTCTGGACACACAAACCATAAAGAAGTTTTTTCTTATGTCTAATCTGAAGGGATCTTCTATCAGTTTAAGACCATTATTCCTAGTCTTCCCCTGGGTACCTTGGTGAACAGATGTTCTAGCCCCTGATGTTCACCCCTTATATACTTAAAGGCTGCCACCAAGTCCCCCCTGAGTCTTTTCTTTTTCAGGCTGAACAGTCCCATGGCCTTCAGTCTCTCCTCATACGGTCTGTTCTCCAGACCTCTAATCATTCGTGTGACCCTCCTTTGGATTCTTTCCAGCTTATCTACATCCTTCTTGAAGTTCAGTGCCCAAAACTGGATGCAGTACTCCAACTGTGGCCTCACCAATGCTGAATGGAGTGGGAAGATGACATCCTTGCTTGTGATGCATCGGTTAATGCGTGCCAGGTTGTTGTTCGCTTTGCCAGCTATAGCATCACACCAGTGGCTCATGTTCATTTTGAGGTTGATCATGACCCCCAGGTCTTTTTCAGTTGTGGTGCTGGCTAGTGTAGCACCACCAAGCCTGTAAGTATGTAGGATAGAGATACAAATATTGTTGTGTTAGGCAATTACTTAGTATCACTTTATGTAAATTCACCCAGCATATAGTATTAGACTGCAGTGTAGTTACATCACTGACAGGAATACAAAAATAATTCTCTTTTGAGATGGGCTGTACAAGGTCATGTTAAACCACACAGTTAGCTAGCTTGCAAAGCTGCTTTTTGATTTTTTTTTTTCTCTCCACCCTTTAAATTCATAGGAACTTCCAAAGTGAGTCAGGCTAAAGGTCCATCTAGTCTCTAGTCTACTGTTCTGTTTCAATGATGGGAAGTAAAAGGCTAACTTAGAGCTGGGATGGCCAGAGTGGTATATGAGCTTCGCGCAGCTTCTTCAATGCGTCTCCTGGTGAAAATGTTTGAAACATTATAATGTTAGGGCTGTGGTGAGAGAAGCAAAGGAGTGTTTGTGGCTGGTCATCTTTTAGCTATTTGAAAATTGTGGTAGGCAGCTCCTAAGAATAGGAAGTTTGGTTACCCCTGAGTCTTAGAAGAAAAGTAAGAAACTAGGAATGTGTATACAAAGAACAAGGGGATAGAGGAAATGTTCTGTTCTCAAACATTACTCTTCAACGGAAAGAAGTTTTATTCTCAGATACTGACTTTTTATTTTAGTGATTCCAATGCAAAATAAACCAGCTGGTAGCAGTTCTGTTTAGAAGAGGGTTATGGCATCTTGTTTGCGCTCATGATGAATGTAAAACTCGAAATGGAATCTGAGCAGAACCAACTATAACCTACTAGTGCACTTGCCCCTCTTCTGTTACAGTTGATATACCGTCATCCACTCCCACCTACAATTCATTCTCTTCATAAATTGTCCAGCCAATATTCTCCCAAGTCATTCTAGAACATGGGGAATAAACTATATCCTAGAATCATGTCATAGAAATTAGGGGCTGGAAGGGACGTCGAAAGATCGACCTCGATTGTTAACCATCCTCTGAACAGTTTATGACCATTGTTCCTTGTGCTCCCCTGGGGCGCCCTAATGAACAGTAATTCTCTCACCTCCTGATATTCACCCCTTACGTATAGATGGCCACCAAGTCCCTCAGTCTTCTCTTCTCCAGGCTGAACAGCCCCAGATCTCTTAGTCTTTCCTCATCAGGTTTGTCTTTCAGGCCCTTAATCATTCTTGTGGCCCTTCTCTGGAGCCTTTCAAGATTCTCCACTTTTTTTTGATGTGCAACGGCCAAAATTGGACACAGTGCTCCAGCTGGGGTCTCACGAATGCCGAGTAAAGTACAGACAGTCCTCAACTTAAGATTATTCAGGTTACAATGAACGGTACTTGCAACATTTAAAGATTGACACCCTGTTTCGACTTTCTGACAGCAGTTTTAACTTTACGATGCTTGATCCGACGCCACACCAGCAAACAAGTTAGCTGTGTCAACCATCTCCCCGGAGAACATCTGTCCAAACTTCCTTGGACACTTTCTCTAAGAAAGTAGACAACGCTCCAGAAAAACCTGCAGCAAAGACTCCCAGCCAAGAACCCTTCAAAAAGTCCAACAAAGTTACCTCAAAGAAGTCCTTCCAAATCAATATGATTGTTATTTACAATATAAATACATTAATGTAGCTATATTACTCATCTATAATTGTTTGAGTACAAAATTCTGGGTTATTTTTGGTGAAAATAGGGTATCAGGCCTTGGTTCAGGAACCAATCCTCATTTATAACTGTTCCTATGAGAAAATCAGTTCTAAGTTACAATGTTTTGACTTCAGACGTAGTTTTTAGGAACCAATTGTATGTCTAAGGACTGCCTGT